TAGTTCCAGTGGTGGGTGGGTGCAAATCCCCCACCTCTGTCACAGGTGGGTGCAGGTTTTTTGTGGGGGGGACTCATCCTTGGAGGGGGACTCCGAGCCCTGCCTCATGCTGAGGGATCTCTTCCAGTCATTTGCCAGAACGGGGGAAGCTACAATGGGAAGGAATGCATCTGCAAGCCTGAATTCTACGGGACGCTCTGCGAGCTCGCTAAAGACGTTATCACCACCAATGTCAGTAAGTGCAGCCTTTCCCTTCCTGGGGACGTGTCCTCCAGCGACCTGGCTCCAGTTGGGGCTCTTCAAAGGAAGGTTGCTCCTGTTAGGCCCATGCCACAGACAGGGGAATCAAGGAGCAGGAAACCACGCACTGGCATGACAGGAGGAGTGAGCCTTCCCCTGTCCTCTGTGCTGGTTAGGCCCAGCTGGAGCACTGTGTCCAGTTCTGGGTGCCTCATTCCAGGAAAGATGTGGAGTAATTGGAGATGATCCATCAAAGAGCAACAAGGATGAGTCAAGAATTCAGTTAGTTCAGTTTGGAAAAGAGAAGACTGAGACTACGTCTACACAGTGGAGCTATTTCAGGACCCCTCAGGTATCCCGAAATAGCTATTCCTCATCTTAAGAGGAAGCCTGTTATAGTGAAATGTAATGGGTTTGCTATTCCAATCTCCCTGCAAACTTCATTGCACTCGGGTTAAGGGACATTTTGGAATAGTGCCTTATTTTGAAATAACATCGAAATAAGCTATGCAACTGCTTAAAACAAACTGCATAGCTTATTTTGAGGTAAGGGTGCTGTGCAGATGCACCTGAGAGGGGACATGATAACAGCCTTCAAGTACCTCAAAGGGTGTTACAAGGAAGAAGGAGAAAAATTGTTCTCCTTGGCCTCTGATGATAGGACAAGAAGCAATGGGCTTAAATTGCAGCAAGGGAGATTTAGGTTGGACATTAGGAAAAACTTCCTGTCTGTCAGGGTGGTTAAACACTGGAATAAGTTGCCCAAGGAGGTTGTGGAATTTTTGTCAGAGGAGATGTGTAAGAGCAGGTTAGACAGACATCTGTCATGGATGATCAAGACGGTGCTTGGTCCTGCCACGAGGGCAGGAGACTGGACTTGATGGTCTCTCGAGGTCCCTTCTAGTTCTAGGATGCTCTGAGTCTGTGAAAGGGACAATGTGTAGCAGCACCTCTTGGCTGTGTCCTGCTCAGTGCACTCACTGCTGGGCTGTCAGACAGGCCCTGGGTCAGGGCAGCCATGGGTGGGCCGGCTCATTCTCAGGCTGCGACGTGGAGCCAGATGAAAGCACCGGTGCTGCTGGAGGCGGGTTCTGGGCTAGACCATAAGTGTTTCCTTGGCTCTTTTAGGTACATTCGAGGCTGAGGTGGATGTTAAAGTGAAGATCACCAACAGGATCTACACAGAGGAGCTGAACAATAAATCCTCTATAGCTTATATGCAATTTAAGACTGAATTCAAAATGCAGGTGAGGGCTGGGCCCAGGACTTTTTATACTGCCCCTTTCCCGATGCGGCTGGTTCCTCTTGCCTGTGTCATGCAGGAAGGCTGGGGGTTTTCTTTGCCTTGCAGATGCACATGGTCTACCAGAAAGTGACTGGGTACAAAGATGTTGAAATCCTTGGCTTGAGGTGAGTGACTGCCCCGAAACAAAGCTGCCCTGCTGCCTGCTGGGAGCTGCCTGACCAGCTGGATCAATATCATCCTTTTTTAATTTTTATTACGTCCATGGGCCTCAAAAGCTGGAAGTGCCCGGGCCTCTCTGGACCTCAGTGAGGGCCTGCCCACACATGGCTAACCTCTCGCTCCCCACTGTCCCACGGGTGCCAAGGCGCCACACTCAGAGCCAAGAATCACAGAGCCAGGGAGAGAACCCAGGAGTCCTGGCTCCTTGCTCTAGTCCGCCAGCCCCCATTTCTCTCCCAGGGCCAGGCAGAGAACCCAGGAGTCCTGGCTCCCAGCCCCCTCTGACCACCAGCCCCTGGCTTTGTCCCCAGGAATGGCAGTATTGTGGTCGAACACACCGTGATCGTTGACACCCAACTGAGTTCGGACCTGACGGCTACGCTGGCATCTGTCACCCAGCAGGTGGTACAGCAGCTGGAGGTCGCCAACACCACGGAGCGGAACTGCACCAGTAGGTGGTGGGCTCCGGCCCCTCTCCCGCGTGGGGCGAGAGAGGCGACTGTGAGCAGCTCCCCTGGCTGTCGCTGGCTCCAGTGCAGCTGGGGGGCTGCAGCACAGGGTTCTGTGTGGGGCTCCCAGGAGGTGATGGGATGGGAGGGGCAGACAGGTGCCCCCTGCGGGGCTGTAGTCAGACTGTTTCAGGCCCTCTCCCTGTCACCCCATTGCACGGGCAGGACCCCACATGGGGAGGGGGTCCCAAGGAACACTCCCTCCCTCCACACACAATGAAGTAGGGTGGCACCTTGGCCCCCCAATACTTACCCCGCCTGCTAGGATCTCTTTGCCGGGGTCAGGGGCCCCAAGCTGTCTGGAGAGGGGTGCAGCACTCGGTGTAGCAGGGCCCTGATTTCAGTCTGTGGGGGAGGGCCAGTGAGTGGCCCAGTGGAGCCCTGATCTTGGCTGGCCCCCCATGTGCTGCGGCACTCTAGAGCCTTACTAACGACTAGCTGGTGATGGCTAGCGATTGACCATCACCCGAGGAGAGCTCTGCTTCAGGTCTCTGCCCGAGCCAGTCCTCAGGAACGCCACCACGAATTTTTCAATGGCGGGGGGGTGACCCGAAGTGCCAGCAGTGGGTGGGCACCTCACTAATGCCCAGCTTGCCCTGGCCCATGGCTCTGGGGTGGGCTGACCCCTCCCAGCCTGCCACTGACCCTTTTCTGCCCCCCTCAGCATTCTGCCAAGCAGTCGCCCCCCCGGAGCTCGCCAACTACTACTACCCGCATGTCACCACAACGGGCACCCTCAGCTGCCTCACCCGGTGCTCCCCGGGCCTGCCCAACTCCCTGAACTGCAACTACGGGCAGTGCCAGCTGAAGATCTCTGGGCTCGAGTGCGCGTGAGTGTGCCTAGCTGGGCTAGATGGGCTGCCCTGCCTACGCCTGGGGCGCCTTCCTCTGCCCTCATCGTTCGACTGCCTGTACCCCAACCCCCATGTGAACACTACGTGTAGTCAGAACTTTCTCCCTAACCTCTCCCCCAATCCCCACCCTCACCCAAACCCTGTCACTGTAATCCCCACCCGAACCCCTTCCCCCAATCCCCACCCTAACCCTATTCCCTTCCCCCTAAACCCCACCCTAACCTGAACCCCGTCACCCTAATCCCCATCTTAATCTGAACCCTTCCCCCTAATCCCCACCCTAACCCGAATCCCTTCCCCCAATCCCCACCCTTTCCCTGACCTCTTCCCCCTAATCCCAAACCTAACCTGAACCTCTTCCCCCAATTCCCACCCTAATCCTCACCCTAACCTGAACCCCTTCCCCCTAAAACACACCCTAACCCTCACCCTAAACCTTTGCCTCTAATCCCCACCCTCACCCCGTCACCCTAATCCCCACCCTAACCCAATCTCCTTCCCCCTAATCCCCACCCTAACCTGAATCACTTCCCCCAATCCCTACCCTAACCCCTTGCCTCTAATCCCCACCCTAACCCCAACCCCTTGCCCCTAATCCCAATCCTCACCCTAATCTCTTCCTCTAATCCCGACCCTAACTCTAACCTCTTCACCCTAATTCCCACCCTAAACTGAACCCCTACCCTCTAATCCCCACTCTAACCCTTCACTGTAATTGTCTCCCTATCCTCCTTCACCCTAATCCCCACCCTCATCCTAACCCCTTCACCCTAATGCCAAACACCTTTACCTTTATCCTCCCTAACACAAGCCCCTTCACCCTAATCCTCACCCTAACCCTTTACCCGTAATACTAACCCTAACCCAAAACTTAACCTCAACCCTCATCCTAACCCTAAACCTACCTCTAAATCTAAACCCTAACCCAAACCCTCACTCTGACTAACCTTAACTCTCACCCTAACTCCAATCCCTAATCTTAACCATAAACTCAACCTTCACCCTAACGCTAACCCCTTCACTCTATTCCTCACTCTAACCTTAACCCCTTCATCGGCACCCTCATCCTAACCCTAACCCTAACCCTACCTCGAACTCGAACGCGAAACCCTAAGCCCTCACTCTAAAACTAAGCTTAACTCTCACCCTAACTCTAAGCCCTAATCTTAACCATAAACTTAACCGTCACTTTAACTCTAACCCTAACCCTCCCCTTAATTCTTAACTAACCCTCCCCTTAATCCTAATTTCAACCTTAATCAAATCCCTATACCAGGGGTGGGGAACCTTAGGCCTGGGGGCAGGATGTGGCCCCTGGCTTCCTTGGATCCAGCCCTCGAGCCCCGCCCCAGCATTGGGGATCCTGTACTGTTGCTCCAGCCCCCACTCTGCCCCACCATGGAACTGGAGGACACCAAATTTACAAGGCTAGGACCCCTACACGCTGGTGTGAGAAGGGCATATGAGGAGAGTCTTTCTGCTTCTTAGCTGGGGGCCACGTCAGTGAGAGGCTTTTGGGGTTTTATTGCTTCTCACTCGTGTGTGGCCCATGAATGATTTTTCTGTGAGTCAGTGGTCCCCAGCTCAAAAAGGTTCCCCGCTCCTGCCCTAAAGAAAACCCTAACCTTAACACCAAACCTAACCCTAACCCTGCCCTAAACCACACCCTAACATTAGCCCCAAGTCTAACCCTAACTCTGCCCTAAACTAAACCCTAACTCAAACCCAAAACCTACCCTAAACCACACCCTAATCTTACCTACAACACCCTTACTGTAACTCTGCCCTAAACCAAACCCTAATTTAACCTCAACCCTAACCCTAACCCTGCCCTAAACCACACCCTAACATTAGCCCCAAGTCTAACCCTAACTCTGCCCTAAACTAAACCCTAACTCAAACCCAAAACCTACCCTAAACCACACCCTAATCTTACCTACAACACCCTTACTGTAACTCTGCCCTAAACCAAACCCTAATTTAACCTCAACCCTAACCCTAACCCTGCCCTAAACCACACCCTAACTTTTCCCAAAGCTTTAATCCTAACCCTGTGCTAAACCAAACCCTAAATTTAACCCTAACCCTAACCCTAATGCTGCTCTAAACCAAATCCTGACCTTAACCCCAATCCTAACTCTAACCCTGCCCTAAACCAAACCCTAACCTTAACCCTAACCCTCCTACTAGGCCTAACCCTAGCCTGTCCCCAACCCTCATCATTGACCTTAGTTCTCACTCTCAGCCATGAACCTAACCCTGAGCCTGGAGAGGGAGGGGATCAGTGGAGAAGGGCTGGCAAGGAGGACGGGGTACCCAAGGGAGGGAACCTGGGGAAGGTGGAAGGAGGAGCTAAGGGAAGGCAGTTGGGGTGAGGGGGAAGCCTAGAGAGGGGCTGGTTTGGAGGGATGGGAGCCCCGGGGAAGGGCCAGTGCGGGGTGGGTGCATGCTCACTCCCATGTCTCCCCCGCAGCTGTGACAACAGGGACACGTTCTGGTACCCAGGCGATCGCTGCCAAACACGAGTCAATAAGGTGGGCGTGGCCATGGCTGTTCCCCTGGTCGTCCTGTTCATTGCTGGCCTCGTCCTCGCCATCTTCCTGGTCAGATCCAGAAGCAAGGCCAGGTAAATGGGCCAGGTGCACCCCTTGGGGCTGGTGGGTAGAACAGGGGGCTGGGACCCAGGGCTCCTGGGTTCTCTCCCTAGCTGTGGGAGGGCAGTGGGCGCTGGTGGGGTAGAGCGGGGGGCAGGCGGACTGGGAGCCAGGAGGGGCTGGAGTAGGGCAAGGAAGGACCCTTTCACTTTCTGTGAGGGTGTCTCTGGAGGGCGGGTGCCAGCGTGTCTGCGCCCCAAGATGCTCACAGGCTGGGCTGGTGCTTTCCCCTTGCAGCCGAGACATCTCCATGGAGCAGCCAGAGGACTATGAGGAGGAAATGAGCATCTCAGGGGGTGTCATCATCAGGAACGAAGGCGCCTCGTTTAACGGTAAAGCCCAGCTGTCCTGGCCCAGCGGCTCAGACCCTCTGGAGTGTGCATCTAAATTTTGTCACCCCTGAGTGGAATGAGTTTTCTTATGTGCACCGATGTGGAGGGGACGCATGACACAGAGGTGATGGGTGACACGGAGTGGACGTGCAACACAGAGGACATGTGACACGGAGGGAATGGATGACACGGAGGGGGCGTGCAACACGGAGGGGATGGGTGACACGGAGCAGGCATGCGACACGGAGGGGATGGGTGACACGGAGCAGGCATGCGACACGGAGGGGATGGGTGACACGGAGCAGGCATGCGACACGGAGGGGATGGGTGACACGGAGCAGGCATGCGACACGGAGGGGATGGGTGACACGGAGCAGGCATGCGACACGGAGGGGATGGGTGACACGGAGCAGGCATGCGACACGGAGGGGATGGGTGACACGGAGCAGGCATGCGACACGGAGGGGATGGGTGACACGGAGCAGGCATGCGACACGGAGGGGATGGGTGACACGGAGCAGGCATGCGACACGGAGGGGATGGGTGACACGGAGCAGGCATGCGACACGGAGGGGATGGGTGACACGGAGCAGGCATGCGACACGGAGGGGATGGGTGACACGGAGCAGGCATGCGACACGGAGGGGATGGGTGACACGGAGCAGGCATGCGACACGGAGGGGATGGGTGACACGGAGCAGGCATGCGACACGGAGGGGATGGGTGACACGGAGCAGGCATGCGACACGGAGGGGATGGGTGACACGGAGCAGGCATGCGACACGGAGGGGATGGGTGACATGGAGTGGGCGTGCAACACGGAGGGGATGGGTGACACGGAGCAGGCATGCGACACGGAGGGGATGGGTGACATGGAGTGGGCGTGCAACACGGAGGGGATGGGTGACACGGAGCAGGCATGCGACACGGAGGGGATGGGTGACATGGAGTGGGCGTGCAACACGGAGGGGATGGGTGACACGGAGCAGGCATGCGACACGGAGGGGATGGGTGACATGGAGTGGGCGTGCAACACGGAGGGGATGGGTGACACGGAGCAGGCATGCGACACGGAGGGGATGGGTGACATGGAGTGGGCGTGCAACACGGAGGGGATGGGTGACACGGAGCAGGCATGCGACACGGAGGGGATGGGTGACATGGAGTGGGCGTGCAACACGGAGGGGATGGGTGACACGGAGCAGGCATGCGACACGGAGGGGATGGGTGACATGGAGTGGGCGTGCAACACGGAGGGGATGGGTGACACGGAGCAGGCATGCGACACGGAGGGGATGGGTGACATGGAGTGGGCGTGCAACACGGAGGGGATGGGTGACACGGAGCAGGCATGCGACACGGAGGGGATGGGTGACATGGAGTGGGCGTGCAACACGGAGGGGATGGGTGACACGGAGCAGGCATGCGACACGGAGGGGATGGGTGACATGGAGTGGGCGTGCAACACGGAGGGGATGGGTGACACGGAGCAGGCATGCGACACGGAGGGGATGGGTGACATGGAGTGGGCGTGCAACACGGAGGGGATGGGTGACACGGAGCAGGCATGCGACACGGAGGGGATGGGTGACATGGAGTGGGCGTGCAACACGGAGGGGATGGGTGACACGGAGCAGGCATGCGACACGGAGGGGATGGGTGACATGGAGTGGGCGTGCAACACGGAGGGGATGGGTGACACGGAGCAGGCATGCGACACGGAGGGGATGGGTGACATGGAGTGGGCGTGCAACACGGAGGGGATGGGTGACACGGAGCAGGCATGCGACACGGAGGGGATGGGTGACATGGAGTGGGCGTGCAACACGGAGGGGATGGGTGACACGGAGCAGGCATGCGACACGGAGGGGATGGGTGACATGGAGTGGGCGTGCAACACGGAGGGGATGGGTGACACGGAGCAGGCATGCGACACGGAGGGGATGGGTGACATGGAGTGGGCGTGCAACACGGAGGGGATGGGTGACACGGAGCAGGCATGCGACACGGAGGGGATGGGTGACATGGAGTGGGCGTGCAACACGGAGGGGATGGGTGACACGGAGCAGGCATGCGACACGGAGGGGATGGGTGACATGGAGTGGGCGTGCAACACGGAGGGGATGGGTGACACGGAGCAGGCATGCGACACGGAGGGGATGGGTGACATGGAGTGGGCGTGCAACACGGAGGGGATGGGTGACACGGAGCAGGCATGCGACACGGAGGGGATGGGTGACATGGAGTGGGCGTGCAACACGGAGGGGATGGGTGACACGGAGCAGGCATGCGACACGGAGGGGATGGGTGACATGGAGTGGGCGTGCAACACGGAGGGGATGGGTGACACGGAGCAGGCATGCGACACGGAGGGGATGGGTGACATGGAGTGGGCGTGCAACACGGAGGGGATGGGTGACACGGAGCAGGCATGCGACACGGAGGGGATGGGTGACATGGAGTGGGCGTGCAACACGGAGGGGATGGGTGACACGGAGCAGGCATGCGACACGGAGGGGATGGGTGACATGGAGTGGGCGTGCAACACGGAGGGGATGGGTGACACGGAGCAGGCATGCGACACGGAGGGGATGGGTGACATGGAGTGGGCGTGCAACACGGAGGGGATGGGTGACACGGAGCAGGCATGCGACACGGAGGGGATGGGTGACATGGAGTGGGCGTGCAACACGGAGGGGATGGGTGACACGGAGCAGGCATGCGACACGGAGGGGATGGGTGACATGGAGTGGGCGTGCAACACGGAGGGGATGGGTGACACGGAGCAGGCATGCGACACGGAGGGGATGGGTGACATGGAGTGGGCGTGCAACACGGAGGGGATGGGTGACACGGAGCAGGCATGCGACACGGAGGGGATGGGTGACATGGAGTGGGCGTGCAACACGGAGGGGATGGGTGACACGGAGCAGGCATGCGACACGGAGGGGATGGGTGACATGGAGTGGGCGTGCAACACGGAGGGGATGGGTGACACGGAGCAGGCATGCGACACGGAGGGGATGGGTGACATGGAGTGGGCGTGCAACACGGAGGGGATGGGTGACACGGAGCAGGCATGCGACACGGAGGGGATGGGTGACATGGAGTGGGCGTGCAACACGGAGGGGATGGGTGACACGGAGCAGGCATGCGACACGGAGGGGATGGGTGACATGGAGTGGGCGTGCAACACGGAGGGGATGGGTGACACGGAGCAGGCATGCGACACGGAGGGGATGGGTGACATGGAGTGGGCGTGCAACACGGAGGGGATGGGTGACACGGAGCAGGCATGCGACACGGAGGGGATGGGTGACATGGAGTGGGCGTGCAACACGGAGGGGATGGGTGACACGGAGCAGGCATGCGACACGGAGGGGATGGGTGACATGGAGTGGGCGTGCAACACGGAGGGGATGGGTGACACGGAGCAGGCATGCGACACGGAGGGGATGGGTGACATGGAGTGGGCGTGCAACACGGAGGGGATGGGTGACACGGAGCAGGCATGCGACACGGAGGGGATGGGTGACATGGAGTGGGCGTGCAACACGGAGGGGATGGGTGACACGGAGCAGGCATGCGACACGGAGGGGATGGGTGACATGGAGTGGGCGTGCAACACGGAGGGGATGGGTGACACGGAGCAGGCATGCGACACGGAGGGGATGGGTGACATGGAGTGGGCGTGCAACACGGAGGGGATGGGTGACACGGAGCAGGCATGCGACACGGAGGGGATGGGTGACATGGAGTGGGCGTGCAACACGGAGGGGATGGGTGACACGGAGCAGGCATGCGACACGGAGGGGATGGGTGACATGGAGTGGGCGTGCAACACGGAGGGGATGGGTGACACGGAGCAGGCATGCGACACGGAGGGGATGGGTGACATGGAGTGGGCGTGCAACACGGAGGGGATGGGTGACACGGAGCAGGCATGCGACACGGAGGGGATGGGTGACATGGAGTGGGCGTGCAACACGGAGGGGATGGGTGACACGGAGCAGGCATGCGACACGGAGGGGATGGGTGACATGGAGTGGGCGTGCAACACGGAGGGGATGGGTGACACGGAGCAGGCATGCGACACGGAGGGGATGGGTGACATGGAGTGGGCGTGCAACACGGAGGGGATGGGTGACACGGAGCAGGCATGCGACACGGAGGGGATGGGTGACATGGAGTGGGCGTGCAACACGGAGGGGATGGGTGACACGGAGCAGGCATGCGACACGGAGGGGATGGGTGACATGGAGTGGGCGTGCAACACGGAGGGGATGGGTGACACGGAGCAGGCATGCGACACGGAGGGGATGGGTGACATGGAGTGGGCGTGCAACACGGAGGGGATGGGTGACACGGAGCAGGCATGCGACACGGAGGGGATGGGTGACATGGAGTGGGCGTGCAACACGGAGGGGATGGGTGACACGGAGCAGGCATGCGACACGGAGGGGATGGGTGACATGGAGTGGGCGTGCAACACGGAGGGGATGGGTGACACGGAGCAGGCATGCGACACGGAGGGGATGGGTGACATGGAGTGGGCGTGCA